GGCTGAGGAATTCTGGGAGTTGAAATCCACAAGTCTTAAAGTTGTCAAGGTTGCAGACCCCTACAGTTTTCTTGGCAAGATTTTGGAAGGGGTTTGCCATTACCAGCTTCCTAGGGCTGAGAGTAAATGCCTGGCCCAGGATTATCCAGCTGGCATTGTGTCTAAAATGGAACTAGAACTCACGGTCTCCCGGTTTCTAGCCTGGCGCCTTAACCATTACACCAAACTAGCTCTCAACCGGACAACATACTAACCCTGGGAAAAGAAAAACCCAAACCAAGTTTAATAATTAACCCGGTACAGTATTTTCTGCAAATGCAACTGCTTAAATGAATCACTTAAGCAGGTGTGCAAATATAGGGAATGTCTGGGAAAGAGATAATTAAAGTTTTTCTAAAGTAGAAAGTAAGCAATTTATGATTGGGGGTGTGTGTGTCTCACCATTTGAAGTAATATAAAGTAGAAATAGAAATTTAGACTCTTAGAGTTGAATTGGGATGTCGTTGTGCAGCTTTCTTACTTCCCAGTTTAATCTATAACCTTGAGAATTTTGAGTAGTTTCCCATCCAAAAATTGCCCAGCTCTTACCCTGCTTAGCTTCTAAGCCTAGGCAAGAATAGTTCCAAGTGATCTTTTTGAAACACCTGTAAATGTTCTAGTTAATTAACAAAAAGGGCCTTGATGGAGAACCGGCTCACTGCTTCCACATGTAATTCAGCCTTTTTTGTTTTTAAATCTCCTATGAATCAGAAAATCCTCAGAGAAGGCTGCTTGATTCTCAGATTTATTTATAAGTTTCAAGTTTAAACAAACTGTGGCGATGACTTCTGAGACCAGAAAAAGGTTAGATAATAATTCTTATTTTTTCTCCTGCTGCTTTTTAATGTATGACAAAAAACTGTTTGGAATTTAAAGCATCTAATTTGGAAGCAAGAGACCTACCTCCTTTCTCTGCTATATGAACTCTAAACAGATCGCTTCTTAGTCACCTTAATTTTAAATTAAAAAGTCTAATTTTTTTTTGTTTTTTTGCTTGCTTCAGTTCTTCGATAGTGGGCAGAACTAAAAACCTTTGGCAAATGAGAACGTTTCCATTCCTGTGTTAGAAAGTTTACAGGGGCACCTGGAAAACAGCACACAATTTTTCTGTCTGGGGTTTTAGTTATTGGAATAGCAGATTTACACTCTGAAACTCTGCTTCTTTAATTTTAGGGTACTTACATGAAAATGCCTGTCTATCTCCATGTACCTTTTATTGTATATATTTGTACAAAATTACAAAGATTTTGGGCTGAAAGCCAATACAATTGTTAAAAGCTTAAATTCTTCCAGGTTGTAGAATTGATAGGAAGAAATCAGAGTTGCCTTATAGGGGAGGTGGGTGGCACAAACATTTAATTTAATTTAAACATTTAATAAATAAATAAGGACCGTGCCCTAAGGAGCCCCTGAATTTGCCAATTAATTTCTGCAAGAAAAATAAAGTTGAGAGGTAACCTGCTGCGTATTTGGTAGTTTGCTTCCCCATTGTTTCTTGATACTGCATTAAGCCACCATGTGGCCTGCATGTTGTGTGAATCCAGCCACTGACTTAAAGTGATTCAGTGAGTTTTTTCCGCATTATGTACCATCCCTAATTCCAGAATGCAAGCTGAGTCTCAAACTCGGATGCATGCTGATTTACCGCTAACGCAAAATATAAACCATCAAGAAATTCTAAATGGAGCTATGGAAGAACAGTCTATGTCCCCCTGCTAATATTTAGGTTGAAATGTTTGCTCTGCTCTGAAGTTTATTAGATAAGTTAAGGCTGACCAGGGCTGCATTAAACCATAATATGGCTTGCTCGGTTTGGGCTTAGCATACTGTATCATTATTGGCTATAGGTAGTCCTCGGCTTAAAGCCATCCATTCAAAGATCATTCAGAGTTACAATGGCATTGGAAAAAAATCCTGGGACATAGAACCATTGCAGCCTTCCTAGAGTCACATAAACACAATTTGGGTGCTTGGCGACCCGCATGTCCAGCTCTCACATGATCACCATTTGTGACCTTCCCAGCCGCGTCCGACAAGCACAATCAAGGGGGGGGGACTAGACTTGCTTAATGACTGTGTGAGATCCACTTAAGAACTGTAGTGATTTGCTCAGCAACTATGGCGAAAAAAAAGATTGTAAAATTGGGTTTGGCTCATTTAACAACTGCCTCACTTAGCTATGTGAGCTGCTCAGAGTCATTTGCTGAGATGGGTGGCGAAAGGAAAGAAAGCAAGAGAAAGAGAAAAAGGAAGGAAGGAAAGGAAAGGAAAGGAAAGAAAGAAAGAAAGAAAGAAAGAAAGAAAGAAAGAAAGAGAAAAAGAAGGAAGGAAAGAAGGAAGGAGGGGAGGGAGGGAGGGAAAGAAGGGAGGAAGGGAGGGAGGGAAAGAAGGAAGGGAGGAGGGAGGGAAAGAAGAAGGGAGGGAGGGAGGGAGGAAGGAAGGAAATAAATTTTGGTCCCAATTGGCTACCCGCAGAAGCTATTGTTTATGGGTTGGGGTGTCATCCCAGCCTTTCAGATTATCAGCAAACATGTCAAACCTTCAGCTACATCCCTCTTGCTTGTCTGTCTCACTCTGATGGGTCTACAGCAGGGAATTCTGGGAGATGAAGTCCACGTGTCTTAAAGTTTGCCAAGGTTGGACATCCCTCGCCTAGGGGATGCTGTGGACCTTTAAGGGTGCAAGAAAGAAAATTCCTTCAAATTAAGGAATCATTCTCCTTTTCTCGCCCAGTTGACGCGGTGCGGTTCTATACAGTGTGGGCGGGGGAAATCGTGCAAAAATAAATAGGAAAATTGTGACTGGCCCGGGCAGGGAGCTTTCAGAAAAACTACAGGGAGAAATGATCCATACGGAAGGGGATAGAGTTGCACCAGCTTCCTTGTTCCTGCCTGCCCCTCTCCACCACACCTGCTTGCGTCAGCAGCCATGGAAGCTGTAAAGAAGAGAGATGGAACTTGTCAAAGAGGAGATTGGTTCTCAAGTACAACATCCTGGCCGATTTCAGCGGTGCTGCCCACAGCTCTTCTCCCTGTTTATTTGTAGCCGGCGCCCGTGGCCCCCCATTCTTGACCTTTCTGGACAGAGGGTGAAACAAGCCAGGATGTCTCTGATGAAGAAGGGAGAGAGATGGCGACATTCGCTGGTCTGAGTCAGGGGTAGGCAACCTTGACTCTTTTATGACTCGTGGACTTCAACTCCCAGAATTCCTGAGCCAGCCATGCTGAGGAGAAAGGGAGAGGTTTCCAAGCTGAGCCATGCTGGCTCAGGAATTCTGGGAGTTGAAGTCCATCCATCTCCGAGTGGCCAAGGTTGAGAAATACAGGCCTAGGCCAGGGGTAGGCAACCTTGGTTCTTTTATGAGTCGTGGACTTCAACTCCCAGAATTCCTGAGCCAGCCATGCTGAGGGAAAAGGGAGAGGTTTCAAAGCTGAGCCATGCTGGCTCAGGAATTCTGGGAGTTGAAGTCCATGAGTCATGAAGGGGCCATAGTTTCCCCCATGCTGGCTCAGGAATTCTGGGAGTTGAAGTCCATGAGTCATAAAAGAGCCAAGGTTGCCTACCCCTGGCACTCTTAGTCAAGATGCAAGACAAACAAGTTCTTAGCTTGGCTGACAGGGGCGCAGGTTTCTGAGTCAGACAGAGCTCTACATCGGAGTGTCCTTTTCCTCCAGGCTAAGCTTTGAGATGGTTGAAGGTGCTGCTGTAAAGCAGATCTCCTTTTGTTTTGTTTAAAACAGGTAGCCCTCAGACTTACAACCATTCATTTAGCGACCCTTCACAGTTACGACGGCACTGAAAAATGCGACTTATGACCGTTACGACCTTGGCAGCCTATGATCGTGTGATCAAAATACAGATGCTTGGCCACTGGTTCATATTTATAACCGTCGCTGTGTCCCGGGGTCACAGGGATCCCCTTTTGCGACCTTTTGACAAGTAAAGTCAATGGGGAAACCAGATTCACTTAACAACCGGGTTACTAACTTATCAACTTCAACGTTTCGCTTTATAACAAGAAAAGCGGTAAAATGGTGCAAAATTCACTTAACAAACGACTCACAACGGACGTTTTTGGCTCAGTTGTGGTCGTAAGTCGAGGACTACACATATGTGATGAAGTCATTTGGGGCTTTTTAAGAATTGTAAACTTCAACTCCCAAAATTCCTGGCTGGGGAATTCTGGGAGTTGAAGTCCACAGGTCTTCAAATGACCAGGGTTGAGGAAAAAAATCTACAATAGACCCATTTCCTGCCGAGTGAGGAATTCTGGGAGTTGAAGTCCACATATCTTAAAGGACCAAGGTTTTGAGAAACATAGGACTACATGACCTCCAAGGTCCCTTTCCACTCTTTCATTCTATGACGTGATCTTAGAAATTTTCTCAGTCCAACTTCCTGTTACTTGTGGGGTTTATCGGTTACGGAGAAAAGCATCTTAACACATATTTATATTCTCTTCTTTTCTTCGGTTAATCTAACTAAGCTGTAAAATAACCTGTACAATTTGTTTTAGCATTTTGTCGGCATTCATCCCCCACCACTTAGAAATATCCTTGATGGTTTAACACAACATCTGAACCTGCTCCGTGGTCACCTTTAGTCAAAAAAACCCCATGGATTATTAGGGCTATAATTAGCCAGCCTAAAATCTAAAGATCGCTGTAGAGATAAAGCTGGTCGAAAGATCAGATGTAAGCAATGGTAATACAGATTAATTTATTGGATTTATATCTTGTTTTTTCTATTAAAAAGGGGTAGAATACATTTGTGCAGAAATCTAAGCTGACTGAAGTCAATGTCTTAAAAGACGTTTGTGCAAAGAATATTTGCGAATAGAATCCTGTCTCTCTATATACTGCAACCATGTCATCCTTTGCAAATCCAAGAGATGGTGGTGTCTTTATTTTATTTTATTATTATTATTTGGTTAAAGATCTAATTGTGGGTCGAGAGGCAAGATGCAATGTGTTATCCACACTTTAAAATATATCTCCATGGATGACACAGCAGAGGAACTGAATGCACCTGCAGAAGAATTAGAGGTACGGAGCTGAGCATGATAGACAGTAAATCTGGAGGTTTAACATCTAAAAAAATCCACAATAGAAAAAGGCAGACTTTGAGGAACTGCAACTGATAGTAAGAACATTTTTTAAAAAAATCTAGCTTAACAAGCAGTGCGACCCTCGGGCTGGACTGTTGAGTGGACAGGTGGACTTCCATTCTAGAAGAAGACCCCTGCCCACAGCAAGAAGATCATGCTGGGTTTTGTAGTACGTGCTACAAAAGACGAAGGCTTTGGACTTCCTCAAAAGAGGACTTGCTCAAGGGCACCACAGTTAACAAGAGGCTAAAAACAGAAATTGTGCTTTAACAGGAACATATAAAAGAAGATCCCTCCCGGGCTTGGAGGATGATGGAAGTTGTAGTCCAATCGTTCTGAAGAATGTTCAGTTATGGAAGCCTAGTCCTGGGATCACTGGGAGAGGAATGAAAAGCTTTACAAACTGTAAGTAACATTCCTCCGTCTTGTTCAGGGGGAAATAAACTACCTTTATGGGAGGTGTATGACTTTTTCAGTGAACTTTCCTTTGGTTTCTTCATATTCAACAAACCAGTTTCCGTTAGCCTAGATCTTTTTTTCAGGAAAGATTTTATTTATTTCCTTATTTATTTCACAATTTTTTAAATCCACCCCAGTCGGTAGATTCTGCGCTAGACTTTTTTCCTCATTGCTTCCTTCTTCTTTTGCTTCCTCCAATTTCTACCTCATTCTACTGTATTTCTCATTTCCTAATCCCTGATCTCTCCCAATGCTATGATATATATATATATTGCAGTGACTGAAATAATTGTTGCAGTAAAAGACTTTTCGCATTGAATTCTTACCTCAAGGAAATGCAACAGGCATCTCATAATAAATTAGATGTGTTGCCTGTGATATATACTTATACCCTACAAATAGAGCCAGTTTGATCTGGCAGTGAAGATACTGGCTTAGAAACCAGGAGACTGTGAGTTCTAATCCTGCCCTAGGCATGAAATACAGCTGGATGGCTTTGGGCCTATCACCAGGAGATGGTGAGTTCTAGTCCTGCTTTAAGCGTGAAAATGGGGTCCGGAACTTTGGACCAATACCTAGGAGACTGTGAGTTCTAATCCTGCCTTAGCCATAAAAGCCGGCTGGGTGACCTTGGGCCTGTCACTCTCTTTAAACCTACCTCTCCTTACAGGGTTGTTGTTATGGGGAAAATAGGAGAAGGAAGGAAAAATTAGATATGTTCACCACCTTGAGTTATTTATAAAAATAATAAAGGCAGGGTAAAATACCTCAACAAAACAAAATAGATAAAAACGATTTGGTGGGGCTGAGCAAAAGCAGATCTTCCTTCAATTCTCCATCCTGTTCTTGGATGCTAAAATTGAGACGGGGTACGGTCAATATGGGCAAGGAGCAGAATCATCCAGTAGGCAGAAATTTAAATATTTCTTCCCCCCAAAAAAATTCTCAGGGAACGACAAACACAAATCTATGGCTAGCGTGCAAAGAAATCAAAGGATTAAGAGAGATGTATGAATCGGGGGCCATTGCTTTTTTCCACAATATTAAACAAAGCTGTATCCCCTAGTGCCACATTTGAGATTCTTTATTTATTTCTTGGAAACGCGTTGCCAAATCCTGTTTGTGAGGATGCAGAGCTCCAGCAGTTCTGGGGAATCAAGAAAATGCTCAGAAACTATATCTGAAAACGGCTGAGGATTTTTCATTCCACGGTTTGGAAGGCTGATTCCTATTCTTAAACTGCCGTGGTTTGCAAGACAAATGCAGAGGGATCTGGTAATGATAAGTCAGGCCTTTACGTGAGCCAGCTGCACTGGGTTTGGTGGGACTGATCCCTAGAAAGTGTACATAGAATTACAATCTCTTTTTCCCCCCAGAATGATCCTGTGAGCAAATGCATTTGATTTGTAGAGTAACATGTATATCTTCCCGGGATATCTGTGCCTGGCTTCACACAACCTGCCAATGTTGGATTAAAAGCTCTGTGTTTTCCCACACAAATGATGCCCGGAGAAATGAAATGATTTAATGTCATGACCCTACCCAACTTCATACAACCTGCTGAAACAATGCTCTCAGCCACAAAATATCTAACCGCGTTTCTTCTAGTCTAATAGCTTATTATGTGAACATATAAAACACTAGTCCAGAGGTAAAAAAATCTCTTGGGACTCCAGTATTACAACGCCCAGCTTTTCCTGCCAACATCAAGATGTAGGCCTCTGGTACAAGCCACAATGATATATAGAACGTAGAACGTAGAATCTCAGGGCCTGTAAGGGACCACGGAGGTCTTCTAGTCCAGCCCTCTGTTCAAGACAGGAGACCTTATAGCATCAGAGTCCTGTCTATTTTTGAAAACCTTCAGTGATAGGGCACCCACAACTGGAAGTTTTCAAAAATGTACAGAATTGTAATAATTAGAATTAAACTCTGCCCCGTGTACGGAATTTATTTTATTTAGGGATTAAATTTATATGCCAGCCCTCACTACTCAAGGTGTCTCTGAGTGCCAGCTGCATAATTTGCATCGTGCATGCATGCAAGGACATAATAAGATGCATGATGTCACTTGCCTCTCTCTCCCCACCCACCCCCAGTAAGGGCCCCTAATTACACGTTTCCCTCCATTTAGATCATTTTATATTTTCCATGTCCACACCTCAATCTCCTTGGTTCTGAGAACTTTGCCAGCAAAGCCACACAGGTCTGACGGGAAGGCCCCAAGGGGTTTGGCTGAGATTCAGTTCCAGGTCTGTTCATGAATGTGATAAGGGCAAATGACCAGGGGATTAGCTGGAGGAGTGTGTCCATGCAGCAATGTGTACTATTCTCAAATAGGTCATCCTGTATTACTGTTCAGAAGATAATGGATAAATAAATAAGATTGAGAAAGAGCCGGGATTCACACCTGACATATTAAGCAATATATATATATATATATACCTGTTCGGGCTTTGCAGGGTATGTAAAACCTGGCAACTGCATCAGCCATGACTCTTTCTGTATATACTTACTGCCTGTCTCTCTGTCTCTCTGTCTGCCTCTCCCCATGTGCATTTGTGCTTCTGAATTTCAGCATGAATTACATTTCCCCCCTTATCACATTTACATCAACCCCTGCAAGGGAAGTGAGTGCCAGGATCAGGGTGCCCTGCCCTGCCCGCTCACCCTGGCATCTGAATACAGAAAAAATACAGGCGTGAGTTTCAAAGGCTGTTGAAAATGTTGAGGCAAAGCTCTGGAGCAGGCAGGAAAATAAAATATCAGGGTGCCCCCAAAAAAAACCCCTCTCCTCATGATTAGCCACTAAGATATCACACCTGAATCCACCCCATTCTTAGATCCCCAGAGGCCATTTTAAAGAGGAAGGAAGGAAGGAGAAAGAAAGAAAGAGAGAGAGAGAGAGAGAGAGAGAGAGAGAGAGAGAGAGAGAGAGAGAGAGAAAGAAAAAAGAAAAAGAAAGGAAGGAAGGAAGGAAGAAAGGAAGGAAGGAAAGAAAAAGAGAGAGAAAGGAAGGAAGGAAGGAAAGAAAAAAGAAGGAAGGAAATAAAGGAAGGAAGGAAGGAAAGAAAAAGAGAGATAGAAAGGAAGGAAAGAAGGAAGGAAAGAAAGAGAGAGAAAGGAAGGAAGGAAAAAGAAAGGAAGGAAGGAAGGAAAGAAAAAGAGAGAGAGAAAGAAAGAAAGGAAGGAAAGAAGGAAAGAAAAAGAGATAGAAAGGAAGGAAGGAAGGAAGGAAGGAAAGAAAAAGAGAGAAAGAAAGGAAGGAAGGAAAAAGAAAGGAAGGAAGGAAGGAAAGAAAGAGAGAGAGAAAGAAAGGAAGGAAGGAAAGAAAGAAAAAGAGAAAGAAAGAAAGAAAAAGAGAAAGAGAGAAAGAAAGAAAGAAAGAAAGAAAGAAAGAAAGAAAGAAAGAAAGAAAGAAAGAAAGAAAGAAAGAAAGAAGGGAACCTTGGATCAATTTGGTCAGAAAGCTAAAAGCTGATCTACTGGGGGTGCTGGTATTAAAATAAAGAAGGCAAGTAAAAGCGACTTCCTTTTTGCCTGCTCTTTTATTTTAACAACACTCCCTGCACGTAGAAAGCTAACACAGAGCCAAGACCCTGGGGCTAGAATTTTCCCTGCTGGTGGTACTTTTTATTGACTGAGGGATTTGTATCTCGCCTTTATTACTTTCACCAATAACGCGCAAGGCTGCCCAAACGCCCCGTCCTCCTATTTTCCCCACAACATCCCTGTGAGGTGGGTTGGGCTGAGAGAGAGAGAGAGAAGTCACCCAGTCGGCTTTCCCGGCTAAGGCTGCGCTTTGACACTCGGGGTCTCCTGCTTTTCTTAGCCTGGCGCCCCTTAACTCCTGGACCAAACTGGCTCTCTTCTTTAACTTTCTTTTCTTGGGGAAGGGCTAATTTTAGCGTGAAAAACCTCAATAACGGCCTGAATCGGTTCCCTGTTCCGTTGCACCCGAGGGACTCGGAGGAAAGAGGAGTCCGGAGCTGAAGGGGCAGCCGGGGGTGGGGGGCGGCGTTGAATCTGCCCTACAGCCCCCCCCC